ACGAGTACTTCATCACCAGACGTCGCTGGTCCGGCATCCCCGTCTTGCCGAATGGACAGATCTGTACCGTCGCCCGGACTTATCATATCGATGGATAGAATGGCGTCATCTCCGGAATGCGGCAGCATGACCACGGACAGCGGGCAAGACCCGAATGACGTGGGAGAAGGCGTCAAGGTCAAAGAGGAGATGTTAGACGACCCGCAGCCGAAAGACGCGATCGGGACGGGATACGAAAACGGGACGGTGGCCGACAACAAGACGGAACCACCGTCGCCGTCGCCATCGCCTTCGGCGGTGGCCACAGCAGCGGCGTTGGCGGCGGCGGCGACGGCGGCAGCGCAACAGGAGCAGCAGCAGCAAAGGCGCGAGTCGGTGGTGATGACCAGCCCGTTGAGTTGCGTCGTCAAGTCGGCGACAACTCCGCCGCCGCCACCGCAGCAATCGTTGTCGTCGTCGTCGTTATCGCCGCCACTGACCTGGACGACGGTGAACGCTCAAGCGAATCAGCCGCCGCCGCTGCGGTGTTACACGCCCTCCTCCGCCGCCGACTCCATGTCGGTGACGCAGCAGTACCAGCAGCGCCGGCAGTCCGTCGTCACGTCCGTGTCGTCGGCGTTGAAGACGCCGCGGGCACGCAGACGTCGGCCGCGTCCACTGCGCCCTAACGCGGCCACCGCGGCCGCAGCGTCCGTGCTGTCCGTGTGCCGCATCAACGGCGTCCGGCCCGCTCATCGGCGGCGCGGGATTCGCGGCCACGACTGCGGCTGCTACCGGTAACACGGACATGAAACCACCCGCCGCCATACCCCGCGGAACCGGTCAGCACCCACGGCATCATGGGCGAAGCAGGTGAGCCTTTGTTGGAACGCATGTTGAACCTTTGCGGTTTATGATTTTATGAGTGGGCGAGGTTCTTTTGGGGAGGAGGGTGGGGCCGTGAAATTTGGTGCGTAACCGTTTTCGTTAAACAGCTTTGTAATTATTCGAAGTCAATAATATGGTGTTTGCAGGTGGAGTGCGGACGATGATGGTCCAGTCCACCTGCACCGCGGAACAGTCATCTACGTCGCCGGCCAGCACTGCGGGCTGCGGTTCCGTACCGTCTACGGTCAGCACGCCGTACTGGTCGTCGGCGGCCACGTGGTCGTCGAACACGTCGTCCGCGTCGTCCCCGTCACCGTCGCCCTCGGCGGTCAGCGAAGAGTCGGCCGCCCATCTACTGCTAAATCTCGGAGTGGCCACCGGCCACGACGTGTCGTCCGTCATCAGCCACATGCCCGGTCTCAGGCCCATCGGTGGTCAGCTGCAGCAGACGTCCAATGCCAGTGGCGAAACGGCGGTGGCGGGGCGGCAGCGGCGGCGGCGGCGGTGGAGGCAACAGTCATCCGGCGGCGGACAGCAGAGCTTTCACGTGCCGCTCAACATGGAACGGCTGTGGGCCGGCGACCTGTCCCAACTCCCGGTGGCCGCCACGCATCAGATGCACGCGCTCAACCTGACGGCCAATACGGGACCCGAATGGCCGATGTCCGGTTCCAACGGCGAAAACAATCCGCGCCCGTCACGCTTACCACCAGATGGAGAAGCCGATGAACAGGAACAGCCATGGTGTGCATGATCTGCGACGACCGAGCCACGGGTCTCCATTACGGCATCATCACTGCGAAGGGTGCGTAATAATTACTATCGTATATTTTACAGTCGTTTCGTTTTCCGATTTTCCGGCGAATAATATCGCACAATACTCTTAGGTCTGTGATCAAGTTCGGAAAATGCTACAGAAAATTTCAGCAAGCCACATTATAGTAGTAAACTTCAACAAAAATAGTTTGTCGGCGGGTTTGCGTGCGAGCAGTTATTATAATTTATAGGGTTAGTCGATAGAGAGCGACCGTAGCGGTTTAAAATATAATATACGTCATCTCGACGCTAATCGATTAATAAAGAAATAACCTAAATTATTTGCAGTGCGGATTTAGCATTAAAAAAAAAATACGTGTAAGACGTTAAAAACGTAAAGGTTTTGGTAGATTTTGAGTGGAACAATTTACGCAATAGATGAAGGGACATCACTCGTTTCTTTCTTTTACGTCTCTTTTCAATGACTACGTCACGTCGCTCGAGTTTATCAAACTGTATAAATAATTTTCGCGTACCTTAATTTTCAAGATTTTAAATTCAGACTGCGTCGCTCCAGGATGGAAAGCGCGTATTTTATTCTGATCTACGGGAAAACACACTACACAGCGCAATAATGCAGGCCCATCTATGGTACGGTGTATATACGATACACGTATACGGTACGTATCGTCATCACCGTAACTGTACAACTCTTAACGGTACGCCTCGTCTCACTCAAGGACGACGACTTTTTTTTACTACAAGGTTATAGCATAATATAGGCATTACGCGCACGTTTCCATTCATCCGATATAGGGTCGTGCCCTAACACTAACAGAAAACAACATTTATCGTATTTATTATTGTTTTTTCTTTTTTTTTTTCCGAACAGATGCAAGGGTTTCTTCAAACGTACCGTCCAAAACCGAAGGATATACACGTGTATAGCTGAAGGCACTTGTGAAATAACAAAAGCTCAAAGAAACAGGTGTCAATACTGCCGGTTTAAGAAATGCATCGGTCAAGGAATGGTGTTGCAGGGTAAGCGAATCGTGTCGAGAACACCGTTTTACTACATATAATTATATATAATACTCGTTAATAATCAAGATTTATTAATTTAGAAAATTGTAACGTAAAAATAACTAATATTTTATTTTATCATGTTTCCAGCCGTTCGAGAAGATAGAATGCCCGGTGGACGAAATTCTGGCGCTGTATACAACTTGTACAAGGTAATTATACACTGCAGTATAATATTATACATTACTTTTTATTGTTTATGAGAAACTCGTGTTTAGAATTTTGTATTTCTTCTCAAATGGAGATATAAGAAATTTAACATCATTTTATCGCTTATATATTATTATACACTTTTACTTGAATAACATAATACTAAATCACGTACGTATTAGGTTAAGTATAAGAAGAAGAGGCCACCGAAGAACGGCCAAGTCAAAATGGAAAAGTCCGTCACATGCACCACAGCCAGTACCATGACTACGATGAAAACGGAAAACCAGGATAACAACTCCTCGTCCATGTCGACTCTGGTCAACGGAACCATATTAAAGACTGCACTGACGAATCCCAGCGAGGTAACCAACACATTTTAAATATTGCGGTCAAAGTGTCAAATTTGCGTGTTTGTATACTTAATAATTCTCATGTGTTCCACGCAGGTCGTTTATCTCAGACAACGACTAGACAACGCTGTGAGTTCGTCCAGAGACCGTACGTTTTCAATTGAAGCTACGGTGAACATGATCAAGAACCTAGTAGACTGCGACGAATTTCAAGATATCGCCACTCTGCGGGTAAATACACGATATTATTTTAAAATTTAAAATGTTGTTCATCGTCGTCGCGGGTACATTTAAAATAAATTGGCCATTTTGACATTTAATTTTAAAACGGTAGCGTTTAATAATAATACGTTTTAACAAATTTGTAACAATGCAAATAAACATAGTAAATTAAAGTAAAATTATACATAATTTTTTTTTTTTTTTTTTGAATCGTTTTTATATTTTATGAATACCTAAAATTTAATTTTAATACTATTCGTTGTTTTAATATTTTTTTGCTTGACTATATTTTTCTTAATAAAAGAATATTTACAATCTAAACGCATTAAGTAAATCTTATAATAAATACAACTGATTGATGTTAATGGTTAATATTCTCAAATGTTTATTGTATAGTACTGCATAATATAATGTATATTATACACATGGAAAACTAACAGACCGGTTTCTGATGTTAATTATTAGTTGCTAGTAATTGATAATAAATAATAATATAGTATTGCTGTTCTATTGTGAATTATTTTGTATTGTATTGTGTATTGTTAACAGAACATGGAGGACTTGCTCGAACACAATTCCGATCTGTCAGCCAAACTGATGCAGATCGGCGACTCAATCGTTTACAAACTGGTGCAATGGACTAAGCGTCTTCCGTTTTACCTCGAATTGCCAGTCGAAGTAAGTCTAGTAACTACTACAGGTTGCTGTGTATTAAAATGTTTGGCAATTTCACGATTAAAGTTTATATGGATTATGTGTATAATTAAAAACATAAAAATTTCAATAATTATTGTGCTTATATAATATATATCTCAATACTTAATATAGCAATTATACTCAATATAATACAAAAATAATTTTAAGCATAATCTATATAGACTATAATCAAAAAAATGAAAACTAAATAAAATACACCGTACAATGATGATTTTATGACGATCATTTTTCATTACGGAATATGATTAATTTCATTACCTACCTATTTTTTTCATAGTCATTTTTTATTTATTTTAACATCATTTATTGACATACTTTATTAATATAATACTAATTTCAAATAGTTTGTATAATTTAAATAAACTTCAATCATAATTTGTTTATTATATTCTGTGAATCGAGGTGTGTCGTCTCGGTGCATTTTTTATTACAATGACTTACTAATTACGTTTTACAGGTGCATACGAGACTTTTGACACACAAGTGGCATGAGCTATTAGTGTTAACCACTTCGGCGTATCAAGCAATACACGGGCCCCAGAAAATATGGAACTCCACCAACATGAACGGTGACCGGAACGAGGATTCCGAGTTCCACCAAGAGGTAAGAATATTGGACTATTCGATAATAGCGATCTATATAAATTGCACGCGTATACTTCTATATTACCTATTTCATATTAAACGCTGGATTTCCGCAGGTATCTCACAACCTGTGCATATTACAAAATTGCCTGTCCTCGATGATGGGAAAACCCATAACGATGGACCAGCTCCGGCAAGATGTTGGTGTGATGGTGGAGAAGATCACACACGTCACGCTCATGTTCAGGAGGGTAAAGCTGCGAATGGAAGAATACGTGTGCCTGAAAGTCATAATTATGTTGACACAGAGTAAGTACATTATATTACCAAGAGTCTAGGTAATCCAGAATCTTATTAACCGTTGTTAATTTTACTTCTTCTCCTTCTACAGATAACGGCAATACCACTAGTGAGCTAGAAACCATCCAAGAGAGATATACGTCTTGTCTAAAGACTTATGTCGAACACACTTTTCCCATGCAACCCAATAGGTTGCAAGATCTCCTTCACCGACTGCCAGAGGTAAATATATACTTCTGCAATATAACGACCGTGTCCTTTAATCAGGTACATTTCAGGCCTTATTCTAAGGAAATATATCCAAAGTGCGGTTAGAATTAGACTATGGATGATTAAAAAAAAAATTTTTTTACTATCGTTAATTCAGTGTTGTAAAGAATAATTTTAAAATGTTTCTAATATTGTTTTGGTCAATGTATATAAATAAAACTCAAATCGTTTTAAAATATAAAAAAAATTGTATTTATGTTAATAATATAATATAATTTATAAACATTTTTTCAAATAAATAATTATTACATTTTAGTATCTAACATGATTTGTTTGAAATATTCATTCGTAATCCGTATTTATAATTAAATTGATGATTCTACAAAATCACATTTTCTTAATTATAAATGACACATTTACATGAAAATTGTATGTTGAAATAAATTTGAAAATTGAACTACCAGAAAATAAAAACTTAAATATTCAATATTTAATTATCTACAACACTGCATACATTTTTTTCAACTCTAATACATTCTCGTATACCCATTCCAAAATAATATTTAACTTACATTACTTATTTCAACATTTTTATCACTCATTCTTTAACTATTTACAAATTATTATCAGTTATCGACATCCTTTTCGGACAGTAGTGTAAAATCCTTAGAACATGGTCTGCGTGTACTTTTTACCCCTCCCCTAAATAATTGAAATTCTACCGGTTATAATTAAAATTGAATTACAGTATTAAATAAACTTACGTTACAATTTTTTCCCCCCTTACAGATTCAGTCAGCTGCTTCGCTCTTGTTAGAGTCAAAAATGTTTTATGTGCCTTTCCTCTTGAACTCCACGATCAGAAGTTAGTGCGTACATTATGCCCAGAGGATAGCTACTGATCATCATTATTATAATAGAATAGAACCAGTTACCAAAATAATAACTATATGTAATATATGAAAGTGAAAACGAAGAAGAAATTTGAATCGTCTAGATTGTGTCTACCTCGCACGCTTGCGCGTGTGAACGCTACCGTAATATAGTTAGTACGTATTCGTTTTGTATAGGTAAATAATTGTGCATTGTTGATTGTTATATTATTATTATGTGAATGAGAGGAGATTCTTTTATTAGGAATATATTTTTTTTTAAGTTTTTCTTGTTTTCTTTTATGTATTACTAATACGTTTCATTTTGTAACTCTTGAGTTTTTCCTTTGCGATTTGGGAGTTATTTAATCGTAAAATCCAGCTATATGAAAGTATCTATAATGTTAACATAATGTTAGTATAATAAAATATTGTCTGTGAAAATGTGTCCCACGTCTGTATAAAATACGTATAAATATATTATTTTAAGATAGTATAATTATAACGATACAAGAAAAATTTGCCGAAAGAGAATATAATAATATTAATATATTATGATGATTATGATAATGATATAGATATACGTGTATGGGTTACCTTTGTATTATTATTAATTAGACTTAATTGTAGTTGTAATGTTATATTGTATTTCGAATGTATAAACTCACGCGTACGGTACCTAAATCATTTATAATTTATGTATATATGTAGGCTGATTGCTGAATTATATCATCTTCTCTTTCTTTGATTCTCTATTTCTCCAATCCCCCCCTTTTATAACTCTCTTATTCTCTCTATTTCCGAGTGTTTCTATACGGTATACTCTCCTAATTTTGTTCAAGTGGCGTTAGACAAACTTAATGGGCACCGTCATTGTATTCATATTGAATACTGACATACATAGACACACACACACACACACACACACACACTCACTCACTCACTCACTCACTCACACATAAACTCTCTCACGTACATAATATATTCGAGATGGTTATAAATTATTTTGGTATTTCTGACACTTTGTGATTTCTTATTAACGTAATTTATAATTTTTATAGTAAAAATATAGTTTGACTTACATAATTTTCATTCATCGCGTAATATGTATAAATATATATTACTTTTGTACCTATATTATTTTTTAAAAAATAAGTGAATACTTAATTTTTTTAATCAACACACTGCCAGTATATAAATAACAATTTTGCATTATACTACTTTTATATTTTCATAAAAAAAAAAATAAGTAAAAAAAATAAAACGTGAAAACTATATTTTTATACATTTTTCGTATAAACGAAAAATTAATTTTAAAATATTAAAATAATAGTAATATAAAATTTAAGTTAAATTAAATAATTTAATTTCGTTAGATATCTGTCTATAATATATATATATAATATGTATATGCATTTTTCAACACCATCTCGACAGATGGTTGAGGTATTCATTTAAATCTAACACTTAGGTTTTTTTTCTAACTAAAATCCAAGTGCGCTTTCATTGCAACCGTATCGGTTGAATTGTTTTCAAATATCCCACTATTCCTCAAGCAATTTCTAGGTTACCTAAACATACAAAACAATATAATATGATATATTTACCTCAAATAGATAACCTAATTAATATTCACGATTATAGACAAATATACCTAACCACTTTAGTGTATACATTATACACTAAACTACATGTTTAGATTTAAAACTATAGCTGAATAGGTAGTCAAACGTTTAAGTTACCAAATTATTGAAATATAATAAAAACGACTCCTAAACTAAAGAAAAAAAGAGATTTTATTATAAATAGTAAAATATATATACCTACGGATCATAAACTACGTAGGCTAAGGTGCATAATTAAAACATAAAACGAATATTAGGCAAGAAAAAAATAACGTTGAAAATAGGTACTCACATATAATATATTTATGTGTTACAAACATGTTCCTTTAGTTTAACTGGTAAGAAAAATATTGTAAATTATGTCCAATGTGTTTTTTTTTTTTTTTATATATATAGGAATAAATACGATATTGGGGATAGGTATTATTATCTTGTTTAACCTTTTTTTTTTTTTGTTAATTTGTAACCTTTATAATATTCTTGATCGTTATGAATTGTGTTCCAACATTACTAACGTTGTACTTGAAAACTAGATTTTGTAAAATGTTTAAATGTTTATTATTTGTGTATAAGAAAAATTATTTATAATACTATAATATATATAAATATATATAATAATAATAATAATATATTATGTAAACACTGACTGTTTTATCCGTGAAAATCGGTGCCTTTGCGCTTGTTTTTGTTTTTTTAAATAATATTGTAAACAGAATCTGTCTTTTAATTAAAAATTATATAATGTAATATGTTTGATAGAAATGTAGGCTATAAAAATATTTTTTTTTTTAAATGATCTATCAAAGCAATAAAAGTAGTAAATGAAAAAAAAATTAAATAACTGAATCATAAGACTTGTTTTATTATACCTATACATTAAAATAATCATTTTTTCAATTTTATATGACTACTATTGTACAATTTTAATTTTAACATTTTTACGTACATAAATTAAATAATTCTATAATCAATGGTTGTTTAAAATTTAATTTTAATCGACTTATATAATGTAATATTTTTTCGGTTCCATTTGATTTTTCTCGGACGTTTGTAATATAATAAAAGTGATTATTTGAAATTAAAATTTTCGGGTTTTTTTAGTTTTAATTAATAAATTACACGTGATGGAGGATTTTTTACTAAAAGTTAAAATAAGTACTGACTCGTCTCTTAGACCTGCTATGAATTATTTAATTCATTTATTGTTCAAACAATCTTATTATATTCCATCAGTGTAATTTATGATAGTTTATAATCAAATTTTCCACATATACTGCGATTTAATAAGTCAATATATTTTATTTTTTTTTTTTTTAACTATGAAACGATAATTTTTATTTTAAACGCCCAAACTGACTGTAAAACATTTTTAAACACTTAACAATAACCATATATAAATAAATCTTTTTCTTATGAGATTTTATGTAATTCATGACACATAAAAGACATTTTTATACGTTTAATAATATGTTTTTTTTTAAAACAACTGTTTTCTAAAAGAAAACAATTAATATAAATATTTGATTAAAAAATTATAACATAATTGTGATAAATATTTGAACATCAAATGAGCTCAATTGTTTTACTTTTTTTTCTAGATAAACGTGAATTTCTCAAAAACATTTTGCTTTAAATTTGACTTTAATATTATATAATATTCACTGCATATATATATACATATATATGTGTATTTTTATTATTATCATTTTTTATTAAATTTTTTTTTTATGAGTGTCGTCATTTTTTCTATATATATATATATATATACACACATATATTATAGCCTACATGACTTAAAACAATACACTAGGAAATTATTTATATTTTGTACATAAATTGATATTTTAATTAATACAATATTTTATTTTGTAAATAAAAATATGTTCAGTCAGTATTTGTACAAAATTTATAGACATTCACTTTATACCTACTACTATAGTGTAATATTTTAATTTTTGATACGTTTCAAGTAAATGATTATTAAATATTATTAGCTAGGGTATTAAATTAATTGATTAAACATGCTGATTAAGTTTTGAAAGATAAACATAATAATTATAATATATATTTGATGTTGTTTGTTTTTTTTCTTTTTAAATGTCGATACTAGTGTAATATTGCATTTTGTTTGTTTGTTTTTATTTTAATTTTGTTTTTAATATTATTATTATTATTATTAGCCTATTTAAAACCTATGTTTGGAAAAGAGAAAATAAATCTTTATTTTTTTCTTCTGTAAAGCGAAATGAAAAAACAACTCTTACCGTATATCTTACATGTAAAGCCTACCTATTTGTTTTATAAACTAGACAGGTAATTTGGTAAATAAATAATAAAAAAAAAAATAACAATATTGTTTTTACATTTTTTTTTAGTACTGCACTATCTATAACTTTAAAAGACCTGTTATTATATATGTTAAATAATATATCATCACACAATTATTGTTCCTACTGTTTTACTTAAGCACCCACATAATATATCATATATGACGTGTATTATAGTATGGCTGTACGAGTATAGTGTATACTGTATACCCATATTGTATAAATAGTATGTACTATATGTCTATATAGTATGTATATTTGTAGAAAATTTTATGATTTACAGAATTTATATCGAAAAAAATAGATTGATTATTACTATAGATATTAGATTTTATATAGGTTATACAACTGAATGGATATGTTACATCTTTATGTTTTTATATAAGTCATGAGCCACCCAAACTACCCACCCATCCGCTGGAAAAAATTCAGAGGCCTCTCAAAAACTTCTTCACCACACCACTGTGACAGTGTGACTAACTGATAAGTGTTTAAGGATGACGGGATAATAAAGTAATAATAAGAATTTGAGAACCACTGTATGTGTATATCACGTCATTAAACTAAATCTCGTTCTATGTATAGGTGTATAAATATTCATATATCATGAAAATGTTAAAAGTCCATTACGCGACGATCGGTCAGTCTTTCAATACATTGTCATGTTCTCGAAGCACTTGTGCTTAAACGCATTGACCTCCGTCCCCAACTCAGCTGTAGACGGATATATTAATAATAATATTATTACATACTTGCGCTTTGCAATAATATTCTGTATTTTTGTACACTTAAATGTTTCAATAATGAATTCATTTCAACGTCTCTTTGAGGATATGTACGTATAATATAATAAACATAGTTATATTTGTTTGATCGTTTAAGTAAAAGGCATGCCTACTTAAATGCGACGACCTTCACCCGCTGCGTTTATAACACAATAATAGCATCTAACAAGCTGTACAATGTTATAACGACAACGTCTACCAAAATAGTTTCTTAGCACGATTTATTAACATTATTGTTTGCCGTCTAACCAGTAGCTGGTACCAAAAAAACGGCCAACAAAAACCGCAACACTATTATAAATTTTAATAATTTTTATAATGGCATAATATACAATTATTATAATAATAATTTCAAACGTGCTACACGATGATCAGTGGTCACAGTAATATATATATATATATACGCAGGAAGCTCGCATTACCTATATTAATATTTGGGTCAGGGGCACCCTCAGAAAATCAGCTTAGTGGGTGAAACATTTTACATCTCAATACTATATGGTATCACCTCAATTAAATGTCCAAATTTTTTTTTTAGGATTAATAAAA